ACCTGCACTGCATGTACAGACGACAACAGATCAAGGTAAAAACTGTAGCATCTACTGTAGCGATATTAAGGGTGTCTTTGCAACAAAAATGTAGGTACTCGTACATGCAGAGACTGCACCTAAATGTCAGGTCATCTAGAATTACAAGACACCATAATAGATTGTTCGTGTTTGCTGTCTGCGCGCGCGCACTTTATCAAAATGGTATCCAGTGTCAAGGAAATGATAACAATACATGGGATGGGAATTGAGACCTAGGTTTGAGCTTAACCTAAGTTAGGTACCACCAAAGAACCAGTGTTTAAATTGTTATGAATCTTTGGAATTGTTATAAAACCCTCAAAATTAAATAGGGCTAAAAATCTACTGAGTAAATCCCTCTGAGCTTGAATCTAAAAACTAAATAAACCAGAATTTATCAATATTGGTTTAGAAGCTTATTCATAAAATATGAATTTAACAAAGTAATACAGAGTAAGTAATGTTCATAATCTATGTAAGTAAATAAAAAGATGCCAGTGCTAAGAGCATGTTGATCCTTAACCTTGCTTTAAAGAAGATAAATGAGTGGATCTATTTGATTGATGACTTCAATTCAAATTGAGGACTCAATTGAATGAAGGTTAGTTCGTAAAAAAACTAATAAAACATGAATGCACCGATTTTTATTTATGTTGTATGTAACATTTATGTTAAGAAAAATCTTTAAACATAGACAGTAAAAAAAAAACATCGCCATGAAATAAAAGTTTATTTTTACTATGTTTGTTTTCTCGGACGTCAGATCGAGTGCTACAAAATGAATTACTTGACTGACTGTGTGCTAAGTTTAATATAGAGACCCGGTCATTGGACTAGGTTAAAAGCGAGATATTTATAGTGCACTTTCTTTTTATTACACTCGGTAGTAAAAATAATGAAAGAAGAACATCACATGTTTAGTGTCTTTGATAAGGCTATGTTTATTGAAATGCACTTTGCTGCTCCAAATAAATTGTTAAATACAAGAATTGAAAGAAGTTAATTGTTGTTGTTAAATACAAGAGAAGAAATTGATGTAGTTTCTCTCCCAAAATAAATTTTAGAACATTTTTTAGAACTAATAGTCAGAGTACCTACCGAGTAGGAGGTACGACAAAAAAGTGCAGTTACGACGTTTTAGGGTGCTTTTATTGAAAATGTAAAAAATGGCAATTATGCTTTACACTTGTCTTACTGACGTGAAAAATTCAAGTAGGTAAGTAGATTAAACTAAAAGAAGAAATAAATACAGAAACTAATTGTTTTATTGCACGAACGTCCAGTCTTCTCTCATCAATTACTTGAAAGACAATACTATTTATTAGAGCGGAACAACCGTAATGCACTTTCATTGCATATCATAAACCGTGACCAATCGCCAAACAAATCGTTTGTAATCAGAGCAGTTGATTACTTTAATAAACTCTCGCAACAAAAGAACAATGCCGTAATAGTCTCAGATGGAAATCCTAATATGTCAACGGACGAAAGCTGAAGAATGGGCCGCACGCCCAGCCCATTTGCATAAGTGTCTCGGGTTCAATATCCTGCTCTGTCATCGGTGACACAATGGAAATGGTACTGGTAAGGCCATTGGAGTTCCCGAAATAACACTGAACTTCTGAACGTAGGGTTTATACTCGTAATGCGATCAGTGATCCTCAGTCAACCTGTAGCGGCCTAAAGGAACACGTGGATATTAGTACATGGTATACTTTATTGATATACTTGGCACATGGGTTTGACTGACCATTCATGAAAGGAGTCCCATTCAATCTGCTGCAGTGCCCATTGCAGCGGGTATGTGTAAAGCATAATAAATTATTGTCCGAAAAAGTGATAAATAAATCCAATATTGCCAGTTATTTTATTACTAGTCGTAAATTTCCCAGTTAGTAAGATTTAAGGCATCCAATATTGCCACACAAATTTTGTATCTACCTGTTCGGGATTCTTATGGATGAAGGAGACGCTGTTTCGTGTTTCAAACGGTTTACTACCAAGAATATCTTGTTACAAGGAAATACATTAAAATTGCGTAGTTGCTCTGATGTGAACGATGTAAAAACAAAAGAGATGTGACAGGCGCGCGCGGGGCCCCGCGGGCGCGGGCGGTGGGGCACGCGGCGTAGTGATGTTCTTGTGAACACTACCTCTTACCTAGCTTCAGAACTTTTACTATTGTGACCAAAATACAAAATAACCTTTCTTAAATTAACACCTGTGCATATGTGCTCAAACTGAACCCCAATATGTTACTCTGACAGGATTGGAACCCACAACCGCACAATAGTCCAGTTCAGCATCCCATTAAAAAAAAAAACTAAAACCCAACTACGACAAAAAACGACGCTGAAAAAGTATAAAACAAGATTTTCAGAATACTGAACTGAACAAACTTGCTAATGTAGTTGCATAGTAATTTTCATGTTTGGAAAGGCGTAGTCACACGTTGTCAAAGTGCTACGGTAGGTATATGTTACGTGTGACTACGCCTTTCCAAACATGAAAATTACTATGCAACTACATTAGCAAGTTTGTTCAGTTCAGTATTCTGAAAATCTTGTTTTATACTTTTTCAGCGTCGTTTTTTGTCGTAGTTGGGTTTTAGTTTTTTTACTTTTTATTATTTGTACTATTTTGGTGTTAAAGTGTATTTGTGGCGCATAATATTAAAAAAAGTTAAATTGATGAACTAATAAGAAGCTATGAACGAAAAGATGTGAATTATATGCAATCAGCCCATGAATACAGGTAAAGTCACAAGCAAATGCTAGTAATATATATATATTCAAAATGTACAAGTAAAGCGCTTTCAAATGATACCAAACACGGCATATTTATCTTAACTTTATTTTTTTACTCTGTATGTTTTGTCCGCTAGAGGGCGCCACATTAGATTTTGTGAAACCCCATATAGCCTATAACCAGCGGACAATTTAGACGCTTCTAATGATATGTCATTTGTCGAATTCTGATAAGTAGTTTAGAAGTTACGAGGGAACACATGAACATACATACATACATACATACATACATAGCCTGTCAAAATCATAACCCTCCTTTTGCTTTGCCGTAGTCGGGTAAAAAGAGCCGAATTACGGAGCCTTCTGTAACCTTTTACATTAGGTAATGCGCAGACGCACGCTTTGTACACAACTTGGCTTCATTGTAGAAGGCAATAGGGCTTAACTTGCCCACAAAGGACTAATATGCATAGTTGGCATTGGTGAACAATATGGGAAAGTTGGCTTTAGCGGAAGATGCTTGTATGAGTTGTATGTAAGCTCATGAGACCTGCCTTTAGTCGTAGAGTATGAGATGTCATTGTGTACAAACGCCCGTATTCACAAACATTACTATGAGGTCTCACAGTGCGCGTTGGAGGCACAGCGTGACACACGAACCAATCGCAGAGCTCTATTCAACGCTGTGCGTTCGATTTGTTGCTTCACTTAAGCAAGAATCGTTTGAGAATACGGGTGTAAGATTATTTTAAGGATGGAAATTGTGCTGGCTCCGAACTTCAAAAGTCCGTACTGTATACAACGTTCTTGCCAACTCTAGTTTGCCCTGTGATTTTAATATGGAATTCAACCAATCAAGTCTAATCAATATTTGAAATTGGTTATGAGCTTCATTCTGTAATGCCTTAAATTATACCTAAACTATGCTTTATTACACATCTCTAACTGGAACTGGAAAGATGTAACTATGTTCAAGATTGGTTTAAATTTTATGTCCCATAGCCCAATAACGATAAAATGTTTATTTTGAAACCTCTTCGATTATGCTATTGCATGTACTTTCAGTATAAACATCAAGACACTCATCAACACATGTGTAAATAGGGCGTAATAAATAAACGCATGCCCTCAAATCAACGGGAACTATTTTGGACAAGTCGTTGAACTGTATTTTATATCGTGGGGCGATCGTACCCGTAACGTAAACAAGTCTTATTTGGAAGATTGAAACACAAAAATAGCCACTTTCAAAGAGAAAATTACACAGGGAATCTCCAAAAAATATAGCAGCCATGATGGCTATGTAAGCATGATTCGGCAATTTTAGACATTGAAAGAATCTTGTATTACTATGTAAATTCACTTTTATAAGTACCGGAATGTTTTTGCTTTCAAAATAAAAGTGGATTTCACTCAACTTTTTATTTGTTTATTGACCGATTTTTATCTCGAATCATTTAATTCTGCTAGAAAGAAATGAGGTCGGCCAACGGATATTTATAAATATGATTTGTGATTGTGACTTTTGCTTTACATTTCTAATTCACAAATTAATGTTATATGTTTGTAGGAATATTTAATTTTAAACCCTATCTTGCAATTCATAGATAAACCAATTCGGCTATGATGTCATCAACGTAACAGTCTCATCTAGTTCTACAAATTACTGTGTTCCTGTTACCGTTTTATATGAACTGTGGGCAGGCTAGTATTGTTGTTCCTACATTAGGCCATAAAAATGACATAAAATAACACACTGAACTAGGTACTGATACACTGACAACAGAAGATGAAGATATTTTAGGCTGCACTTACATTTTGTTGTAATGATCCCTATTAAAACACTATTAAATCCTACAGTATAATATGTTACGTCTGTATACAGCGACAGCATATTATACTGTACATTTTTGTTCCAAAATAGCACTTAATATAACTAAAATTAAATTGAATAACATGCAACCTTTGTCTGCTGAAGCCTCTGATCATAAAGTCTCATGTACAAAATTGCTAAAGTTTATTTGCACTGGCTATAATACCCTACGAACGATCTAACTGATTATATCCAGATGAAGCTTAGGTTGAGTGGCTCCACCTTAACGTAAGAAGCATCAATTAAGTCTATCAAATTCCATAAAAAACACCTGTTAAAGTTATAGTTAAGGTAGTGTAACTCAGCCTTAGAATGCCTAAAAACTTCGCTAGATCTTAATCTTTTAAAGAGTGACTTACCTCTTCAAGAAGTCCGTGTATTCCGCCTGCCTGATGAGACCAGTCCTCATCATGATAGTCTGGAAGCACTGCCGCTCGATGGCCCAAAGCCGGCAGTCGGTCGCAGCCTTTATGGTGGCCGTTCGCTTGCAGTTGTACAGGATGGCCAGCTCGCCGAAGACTTTGCCGGGAGCCATGGTGCTGAGGTATTTGTTCTCGCGGGAGACCTCCACGCGACCCTCTGTGGAAGAAAGAGATGGTCAGTTAAGAGCAGGTCGACAAAATTCCTTCACAGACAAGGAGGCAGATAGGGCTCTAAATTTCAATCAGTTTACGCCTTATAATACTTAAACTGCCTTGCCTTTCAGTATTATGATCCCTTATTGCCAGCCCCGTGACACTTGACTGAGTTCTGACTGAAGAACGTACAGTGCAGACAATAGAGTTGACAACACCATCAATCAATAGGGGATCGGATTCTAATCAGTATTCACAAAGAAGTAACTTATTATGATTGACTGATTGGTAAAAATAGGAATAGCTTAACCTACAACTTTTTTAGGGTTCCGTAGCCAAATGGCAAAAAACGGAACCCTTATAGATTCGTCATGTCTGTCTGTCCGTCTGTCCGTCCGTATGTCACAGCCATTTTTTTCCGAAACTATAAGAGCTATACTGTTGAAACTTGGTAAGTAGATGTATTCTGTGAACCGCATTAAGATTTTGATGCAAAATAATAATAAATATTGGGGGCTCCCCATACTTAGAATAGAAATTCAAAAATTTTTTTTTTTCATCAAACACATACGTGTGGGGTATCTATGGATAGGTCTTTATCGAGGTTTCTAAAATATTTTTTTTCTAAACCGAATAGTTTGCGTGACAGACGCTTCCAAAGTGGAAAAAAGTTGGTCTCCTCATACAAATAACTTAAATAAAAAAATTAATTTCATAAATCAATGGTACGGAACCCTTTGTGCGTGAGTCCGACACGCACTTGGCCGGTTTTTTAATGTTACTTAGGTATTATGTATTGCTGCAACAGTAGGTCCTGCTACCTATGTTTATACTAATTTAGTTAATTACTGTAAATAGTATACTTAACTTTGGCCTAGTCATTAGGTTGCGAATATAATTAGATATCACGTGACTGTCCAGTTCGACAACTTGACATATTAATGTTGGCAATTTAGTCAAATGATATACTTATATTTAACCGGAAGTAGGCAGCCGAGGTATAATTGTAAAACAAATTAACTGTTTGCGAAATGCAGTTGTTATTAGGAAATTTAAATATGGAAACCTACTTTCGTTAAAATAATTTGGTCATAATTATATCAATTTGCAAGGAAATAATAAATTAAACATTTCATTTATTCTGTGGTTAAGTACTTGTAGGTTAAGTTAGAAGAGGAACAATAGTAATCAGAATTATTGAATGTGCATTAAGCATTAATTTATTCTAATTCATACGTAACTACTAAGGCTGGCACCATCGTAATTTAACTTTAACAAACGTCAAATAATATCAAACTCCATACAAAAACACCGGTTATGGTCATAGTCACGGTTAAAGTAAGGTGGTGCAAATCAACTAAAACTATGTATATTATTGTTTATAATTGTTACATTATTCGAAGAAGCAGTAATATTAAATTAAATAAACTATGTATAGAAAAAAACATTTTTAGAATTCCCACGAATGCCATTAAATTGAAACTAGAAGTGCCATTGTTTTATAAACACACGCCGTATATTTGAGTAATTTCAATGTGTTTTGTCAAGGTTGAATCAATACAAGTCGTATTAATAGTTTTTATTTATTTTTAGTTTGCCATAAGAGTACCTACTTAGAAACAGGTATTGAATCTATGCTTAGCCGTTTTCACCATCAATCCCTAATTTTTAAGTGACCTCAATAAAAACAAAACTCCTGTTATGTGTTACCATCACTTAAAAATTAGGGATTGATGGTAAAAACGGGCATAAGTCTGTGTGCTGATGCTGTCGACAACACAATAAAATCTGTATTTTTTTTAATGCGATATAGGCATATGTATTTTCCGGACAGTACCTACTTTGATTCGATAAGTAAAATTAGGTATTTTTTGTGCGCAAAAGGATGGTTATTATGCCTGTAATTATAACCTTACAGCATCATTTTATCCCTCGTCAAGTATTACGGAAAACATTAAACATTACTACGTCAATTGAAAATAATTAACCGTTTAAAGCTAATTACACACGCCTAATTTAACTGTACCCGTTTCTTCTTTGCATACATTATTTTAATTCACCTTAAATAATTGAAAATTTGCAACCGAAAGTTGCGATTGTGCATTAATTTTAATATAAAGTGGGCATTTTTTTAAATTTTGCCGAGGTCGACGTGGTTGGCGAACCACTTAAATCATTTTGCACGCTTCAAATGGAAGAATGACTGTATCCATCTTTAGGTATAATAATAATATTCTCGGACATTATAAACCGCACCATCTAGTCCCAAAGTAAGGAAAGCTTTGAGTAATCAATTCCCAAAACTGGAGTCTATCTGTCAGTCATACATTGATGCTCAGCGGAATTATATCAAATGCCATAAATCTGCGAGTGCGTCTGATCGCTAATGTGACATAGACATTTTTCTTTATGCTAAAGTATTTTTCCTTGAAAAGGCTTTACGAGTCCTTTCGCATGCTGGGCAATCACTATTCAATAACTTTTGCCTTAATGCCCAATTTTATTCGGTAAATTAATATGATTTAAAACTCTAAAGGCAACCTGACAACACTAGTTTACAGCCAAAATCGCAAGAACACCTCAAGGTTTCAAAATCGCCGTCTCCATGACTAAATCTTCGAACAAAAAACTTCGCATATCATTACCGGTTGTCAAATTGAAACGCGTCGTTATTGAAATATGATTCCCAAGATTCACAATGTAGAGTCGAGAATTGAGTAATTGGTTAATCAACTACAAGTAGGTAGGTACTCAGGGTTGGAGTGGCGATAAGCGTGTGAACAAATGCCTTGTCGTGCGAATTGATTGTTCTATGTACAGACAGCAGCATATTTTTATTGGAAAACAGCTCCTACTACCTCTCCATAAGATGCCTTAGTGTTACCTCGATGTGCGGTAGTCGGTACTAGTACAGTCGGTCTGCGATTAATGATTCTACACACGGTCAACCCTAGTGACCCGGATATAAAGTGGTATCAATCCATGCCAATGTCCTCCTATTGTTTAGCAATTGGATTATCATCAAACCGTTATATCGATTGCAAATCGCATTCGATTGTTTTTATTAATTCGATAGTCATGTGTTCGATCGATCATTCTAATAGATTAAACTGCAATTTTTCAGGTTCACTAATTTCTATACCGGTTTCGAAAAATTAATTCCTTAACGGTAAGAGCAAGGGCTAATGAACAGGATCTAAATAAAAACGAAAAATTTATTTATTTACAACCAGTTAATTGAAGATTAAGATTGAGAGAAAGATTGATTCAACATGATTATTTTATTGATTCCATCGATATTATAAACGAATATTTACTTATTCAAATTAAATTTTTAAAATTATCCAGATAAAGCACTTATAAGAACTACCTACATAATAGGATTAACTATTAACCTTCAAGCACCATTGTCTTACTTACTCTAAGTATAACAACGACACTAGAATTTGTATCAAAAAATCTTTGGAAGGGTTGAAAAAACATTTGAAAGCAAAAATCCTTACTTACTTTAAAATCAAATCAATGGAAAATTTTCATCTTCTTTATGTGTATCAAATCAACTTTATGTGTATATTTAACTGTGGAAACTTAATTGGTTTATGTGTTTTCTTACTGCACCTAAGTTAAATTATATTGTAACTGTATGTTTCCCAAAAATAAATAAATAAATAAATAAATAAATAAATAAAAAAATCTCTCTCCAACGGAAACAAGTCACCCAGTAAAGAACGTTCCGATAAAAACGATATTTAAAATGCATTGTTTTTGTTACTGCCCTCGAAAACAAAAGCGGGTCAGTGTTAATCGTTCTCGTTCTGTTATTACGGATGACCAGCACGAGACCGACACGCATGAGAATTGCTAGACTAGCTTAAAATATTATTTTATGATATTAACAAAAATAACATAGAAATACCTAGCTCAAAACAACTCTTTGAAGTTTTACTAAATTTTTTGACATCGCAGACAAAAATATCGTATGAGTTATCCAAAATTATATTGAGGAAGACTTTTACAGCACTGTAAGTGCGTTCAAACACTTTTTTGTCAGACTTTAAAATAACCCATGTTTAGAGTTTGTGTTCTGTTTGAGATAACAAAAACCATTGTTCCTTGAATTTGGAAGACAATGGGAACTATTCAAACGTCAAACATAGCTATAAAACTCGTGTCAAACCACTTTGGTATGCTCAGAAAAAAGTGTCACTTTTCACTTAAAAGATAGTGTCAATAGGAGAAATTAACTTGTAGATAACGCGCGATAGTTGTCACTTTTGTGATAGTAAACCGAAACATAATTATCACGTTGTTAGGAGTTTCTTTTTTAATAAAAAAGATTTAAAATCAAAGTGCGAGGATAGAAATGTGTTTACGAAGAAAAACGTTCTAACTTTTTTGGCAAATAAAACGAAACATATCTAAAGATGCAGTGTTAAAATATTTAATACTATTGTGTCTAATTAATACAGTAGATTTTTCCAATTGAATAATATTTTTTTGAAATGTTTTAATACAGCTTTTCTAGCATTTATGTTTCCTTGACATTTGGTTAAAGCATTCCGTGATATTTAATGTAATTTATTAGCGTAAAAAACTATATTTATAATGCACACTGGTCATTTCTATTCATAAAGGCTCTTTTGATTAATATTCATCATATCTCTTCAAGGTTGAATTAAATACAACAAAGAAAATTTAGTTTTATTGCAACAAGCAAGGGACTCGTTATCAAAACATTTAAACATTTAGAATAAACTCAATTGATTGAGACTGTATGGAAAGTGCGACTGTGCACGACGATCTTTTGATTTCAATGGAAAATTATGTTTTTAACCTTTAACTACTGACGTGGGGGCCTCTCAGGCCTTGTAAAAGTCAAATTGTTGAATTTCTCCTCTCCCAAGTGCATGACACACGCGAATCTTTTGGTACCTTCGAGTTTCATTGCGCCGAGGCTGTCAACAACTGTGCACGTGATTGCACGCGCAATTTCAGTAGGTAAATTAATTTTAAAGTTTCTTGTGGGCCTCTCAGGCCCCCACCTCAGTATTGGCGTAACTTTTTTTGTTTATAGTTTTTATTTAGTTATCGTCTTTTCTTGAAATAATTTGAAAAAATCTATAATATGGAGCCTACAGTACGTCGTCCGGGAGAAAGCGGTATCTCGGAATTAAAAATAACCAGCATTTAATGAAAAATAGAAGAACAGTAGTTTTTGGCACGTATGTTAGGAAATGATATGCCTGTACCTGTCTATCAAGATTTAAACGATGAAACCAAGTGCCATACATGTCCTTTGAAGATTCAAGTGAAATCTACATTTTAAAAACATGTATGGCTTCCTTCACTGAGCAAAGCAAGTTTATCCAGACTGTGTTTAATTCGCACTATTTGATGTGTGTAATTTTTTCCCCCCTTTTTCATATTAGGATTACTGATATATCATTAAAAAGACTAAAAAGACTATTGAAAATTAAGATTATAAGTTGATTTGTTGAATTTATGAATATTTTTCATGATAACTTTGTGAATCATGATTTTATGAGATTTTTGCCAAAAAATGCTACATGTTTTCTAAATATTGAAATAATACGTACTTATTAAGAAATAATTTACATAAAAATCGTTTTATTGTATTTAAATATAACCACTATTAATAATTATCAAACATAAAACCCTAAAAAGATTATATATTTTTAAATAAAAGCACACATATCTACGGGCCTCTCAGGCCCCCACGTCAGTGTTTACGTGAAATTAAATCCACCTCAGTAGCTAAAGGTTAAAAATAATTATACAAAAAGTCATAGTTCTTGTAAAAAAAATACTTTATAATTTAGCCCCGTATTATAAGAAGATACTGAAGTTAAGTGAACTCAGTCTGTCAAAAATTACTCATTATTAATGAGATATTCCTGCACAGACAGGTAGTTAGATCATACCTTAAGTTATGGTAATTAATCATATCCTCATTTCGTGAAAGTCGGGCTATTGCCTGCGGTTGACATGACTGAAAGTGTGCACTTAAAACATTCATACTCATTGAATTTATTACACCTTTTGCTGGTAATTTAAAAATGTTCACAAGTTCGCACGAGTGCTTAAAACTTTTAATGCCATATTAAAATGAGTCTAGATAGACATTAGCACATTTTTTTAATTCTCTTTATTGAGTAACTAGCTTTCCGCCAGCGGCTTCGCCCGCGTGGAATTTTGTCTGTCACAGAAAAACTTGATCACGCGCGTTCCTGTTTCTAAAACCGGGATAAAAACTATCCTTTGTCCTTTCCCGGGACTCGAACTATCTCTATGCCAAATTTCATCAAAATCGGTTCAGTGGTTTAGGCGTGAAAGAGAGACAGACAGACAGTTACTTTCGCATTTATAATATTAAGTATAGCTTTCCGCCCGCGGCTTCGCGCGCGTGGACCCCTGAACCCTATTTTTTTCCAAAATAAAATTTAGCCTATGTTACTCGTGGATAATGTAGCTTTCGAATAGTGAAAGAATTTTTAAAAACGGTCCAGTAGTTTTTGAGCCTATTCATTACAACCAAACAAACAAACAAAGTTTTCCTCTTTATAATATTAGTGTAGATTTATGTATAGCAGATCACAAATAGGTAGAGCTCATTATTGCCGTTTTAAAGAAAACAACAAAAATAAATGTCGTCGGGATATACATAATTGTCAACAACTTCGAGTATAGTGTCTCCAACCTTCAGAGGAGTGGGTACAACACGGGCATTTGACATAATTTTTGTCTTGTCCATGTTCATTTTAAGACCCACTTGTTGAGAGACTCTACTGAGGCCATCGAGCATTGTGTTTAGGTCCTCCACGGTCTCAGCCATGACTACGATATCGTCCGCGAAACGAAGGTGGGTGATATACTCGCCGTTGATATTTATGCCGAATCCGCTCCAGTCCAGAAGCTTGAAAACATCTTCCAGGGCGGTGGTGAACAGTTTCGGAGATATGACATCTCCCTGTCTCACCCCTCGCTGCAACTGGATAGGTTTCGAGTTCTGATCCTGGAGGCGGACCGACATTGTGGCGTTTTCGTACAAGCCCTTCAGCGCTTCGATGTATCTATAGTCAATTTGGCACCGTTGGAGAGACTGTAGCACTGCCCAGGTCTCGATCGAGTCGAAGGCTTTTTCATAGTCCACAAACGCCAGACAAAGTGGCTGATTATACTCCTCGGTCTTCTGTATAATCTGCCGTAGCGTATGTATGTGGTCTATGGTACTAAAGCCTTTTCGGAAACCGGCTTGTTCGGGAGGCTGGAAGTCGTCGAGCCTGCGTCGAATCAGAAATGAGGAGATCCGTAGGAGAACCAGAGTGACTGACATAGCCCGCAGAATCGCTAAAATCAAGTGGCAGTGGGCGGGGCACATAGCTCGAAGAGCTGATGGCCGCTGGGGCAGGAAAGTTCTTGAGTGGCGACCACGAGCTGGAAGACGTAGCGGGGGCAGGCCTCCCACTAGGTGGACCGACGATCCGGTGAAGGTCGCGGGAAGTACCTGGATGCAAGCGGCGCAGGACCGGTCTTTGTGGAAATCCTTGGGGGAGGCCTTTGTCCAGCAGTGGACGTCTTTCGGCTGAAACGAACGAACGAACGAAATGTCGTCGGTCTTAAAGACCAATACTATACAAATATCAGTGTTAAAGCGGATATAAGGTGTAGAAATCAAAATTATTTCATGCTTTTCAAGTTTCAATCATAAATTATACATCCGTTAATATATCATAGTCTACGGACGTACACTTACATAAAGAATGATTACTTTACAAATGAAGAATTGCAACATTTATGAACTTAACTATGATATGTTAGAAATTTACACTTCATTATCTACCAACACGGTTTCTATTTAAAAAGTAATTACCTGAACACAAAATATTAATTTAGCAATAAATTAAAATGCACAGAAAAGTATTATGAAAATGCGTCTTCACTTTACTGAAAGTGACGGCGCATTTTCATAATTCATTTAATGAAACTATTATTATGGAATAACACTAAGTATTCTTCTATCATTGTTAAAATGGCAAGTTTTAAATTACATTACAATTATTACGAAGATATTGCTATCGTACAATGTATCAACCAATAAACACTTAGCGAGGGACACTATAACAGTAAATTATTTTGATTATTCGATAACATTATTTCTTAAGTGAAAGTTAAATTGGACAATTGCTTAATCTGCGCAACACGATCACTTAATGAAACGACTTACTTGTATGATTTGCCAATAATTTTCTTTAGAAATCTTGGAATAAATAAGGCTTACTGCCACATACAACTAACTGAAATACATAACTGCTTAAGTTTTTGTTAATGTGAGCAAACTGATATTTCGAAAATGAAATATAAGATCACTTATCATAAGCTATAGTTTTTTAGTCATCTTATTTGAAAATTGGTTGAATATAATTTGTTCAGAAATAAAGTAAACTCAATTTAAGTCATAGTAATTATAAGTACAAGTAAGATAGGTACTAAGGTTTAGACAAAAACAAATCAGATGGCGACGAATCAAGTTTATAATTTTTTGTAACAGCAAAAATTGATCTTGTTTCGAGATAATAAGGTCGTTCTCTAGGTCAACAAATGACGCTTGTTATGCTGTAATTATTTAAATTCTTGATTAATATTACATAATTGGATGTGTTGTTAATTAATTACATGCAATGCACCGATTGCTTGATACTTGCAAATCCAATACCCTGAATACTTAAAATGAATCCGTAATTTAACACAATTTGCATCAAATAAATCAGCAAAATAAATGTAAAATCAGACCGTTCTAGTTTTAATTGTATCCTGTTTCTCGTAAACAACATTTTAACGGGCACTTAAGTTTTGTAATAGAGTTCTTATCGGAATTATTTAAGCTATTAAGCATGATAATTGTGCCGTACCTACTTATGCTTATATTCATGCATGATTTAGCCCGAATGTAGGGCAGAGTGGTGTTAACTAATTGATATACCAGCCTCGTTGGGTTTAGCAACTTTTAGTGGTTGAATGCGTACGCGCAGATTGCCCATGCACTCGTAGGTATATGGCGGATTTCGCAAGCCGATGCCTAATATTCCATCAATTGCGAGGCCGAGCTTATTCACCTTGCTTTCAAAGTAATTCGTGATTTTGGAAGTATACTATGAATAGAATTATTGTTATACTTATGAATTATGGTTATGTTAGGCTCTTCATGCTAAATTAAAGCAAGTTGTATGCTAATTACGAATTTACAAATGAAGTTTATTGTTTCCTATAAGTTTTAAACTACCGGTCGTATCTTATCTTAATGAGGTATAATTTTTCCCGAAATTTTCTTTAAAATACGGTTTTTGGCTTAATTTGTAAGTAATCGGTGTAAAATCATATTTCCAAGACTCGCACAAACACCGTACAAGTTTTTATACTTGGTACCTAATTCAGATAATGATTGTCACGTGTAGACGAGCTATAATAACCTCCGCGTTATATCTCCTCATCGATCAACATCAGCAAACACTTAAGAACAGTATCCTAGCGATAAAAATATGTACATTATGATGGTTGGTGTTATTACCTGGTTCTTCATTGCGCTGGGGCTTTTCAGCTGGTTTCTCTTCTTCCAGGCGCGTGACATCCAGGATTATCCCAGCGTCCAGTGACGACTCAGTGGCGTTACTGTCCCGCTGACACAGATTCCCTGTCCTTCTCTTCCGTGTCCCATACGTGTGAACAGGCACTATCAGCTTAGGCCGCGGTATAGAGAAGTCAGAGTCCGAACCACTAGACGAACTTTTCGCACTCCTCGCGTAAACACCATTGCCATTCGACACCCGTTCCTCGCTTATACGGTCCTTTGGCGCTCCAAAAGACATAATGTCAGCGTACCTATCATACCTATCGTCACTTTTCACTCTCACTGTATTGTACAACTTGCCATACCTATCACGTTTAATATGTTTCGTAACACCGTTCGTAGTCCGACTGTCACTTTCCTTTCCCAAATCGACGGCGAACCCGTTTGTTGATAGAGGGGGATGTTGGTTTCCGTTGTACATGTCAAACTGCATCATGGTCAGCTGCTCGCTTGGAGACAGATTCCTCTTGGGCTGCGTGACAGTGACGTCATTGTGTGAACTGTCGCGCTGCACCGCGTCAAGGTAAGCCCGCAGAGGCGCTCGGCCCTCGCTCTTAACTCTCAATGATTTAGACCGGAAGCTCGGCTTAACATCTTCAATACGTGCGTTTCGTTCGTTAACTGGTTGCGTAGTGTGGTTCGGAAGTTGTTCGCATGTAGATAACGATCCATTAATAGGCCGCATGTATAGCCCCAAATCTTCCGCTTCACAATCCACAGCGGCTTTTTGCTGCCCTGATCTGGATTTCATTGGCGTCAAGTCTAGGGTAGCCATTGTGTTGATTATCTGGTACATTGCATCGTTCCCGAAATTGCTTGGGGAAGCCTCTGAGGACTCCCCGTTATGTGGGTACTTCTCCTTCTTCGTGTCATTCTTCAATAGTTTAATCATATCGCTATCAGTATCATTGTTCTGTTGACTAACTCTTGAATAGTATTCGTAGTAAGATTCGGAAGCAGGGTCAGGCGGCACTGGGCCGGGGTCAGGTAGTGGATAATAGTTTTTCTTAGAATCTACTTTCCTTTGTCTATGTGCATATTTTAAAGAGTCCTTCCGCTGTGGAGGCACAGGCGCTTGTTTACCGTTGCTTCCAAAAGCTTCAATATCCCACTCTGTAAAATTTCTTCGTTTTACACGCCTTAGCGTAGACGGTCTATACCCGTTGGGCATGTCTTTAAAACTATAACTATGCTTCAACTTATTTTGTGCTATGAGATTATTGTTGGCTCGCGCCTTTTCCTCTATATTTTGTTGATATTTGGCTAGTTGAGATATATTTTCATTAGGAACGATGCTAGAGTAGAAACCACTGTCGTCAGAGTACGGTTTTTCGTAAATTTTGTCATTTCCGCGCCCTACGTCTCTGCAGGACTTGCTTCGTGATATTGAGTTGAACTTAGTCTTATCAGAACTATGATCATTTTCGTTATAATTACTGAGATTCCTTGCTCCAACCCAATTCGCAGCGTACACCAAGTCCATAGTCCTATCACCGATCGAGAGCCACGGGTCCTCCATGACCGCTTTTCCTGGGTAATGCTTGATTTTCATATTGCAGCTCCAACTGTCGATGTCACCTCATTTCTGTAAGTTGATATTCCTCCTCTTAGAACTCGCCGAAGAGCAGATGAGGGTAATTCCATTTTACCGTTTCACTAATGTTATTTACCTCTATGCGAGGTCAGACTGTAATCGGTACAATCATTAAACCATATGTATCCAGTTTTAGTTTTAGGCAACAGAACATATCTGTGTAATATTCACAATCTGAAAATTATATTGTCTCATTTACAACAACGTTTTTATACAAAAAGTTTATTACTGTAATAACTCGCAGTCATTGCACATTTCTTGCAAATTTTGGGGATTGTTCTTAATAAAAGACAAAGGATTTCAGCAACAATCAGCATGTGCCAAAAAGAGGTTCAATATGAATGAAGTATTTCATTATTTTTACGCACTTTGCGCAACAGATTAGACCTCCTAACATAACGCTTAAGACTTCGCAAGAGCGGACGCGTCACGGGACGCAAGCACGGGTTGCACAAGACACGAGCCATCGCCGACGATCACAAGGAAGCAGTAACTGGGTCCCAAGAGCCCATCAAGTGAATGCAAATGGGATACAATTGCACAACAATTAGATAATGAGGACTCGTAGCACAGAAGCCAAACGAGCGGTTATAGTTATAATAAACACTTTCACTTAATCTGCGAATCTTGAGCATTACGCTCAGACAGAAAGTTATACCAATAAAACGGACGAGTAACACACATAATGCTTTCAACAAACTTGTATCTAAACAATGAAACACGCGCATTTGTAACAAATTAGTGGCAATCATTAAACGCATGATCGAGTTAGTAGTAAACGATTTCTAGACATCAAGCGAGCTAAGTTGAAACCAGTTCATTGGTCCACATATCCAGTCGGCTGGCCAACGATGATACGTGAGAACGCATCCAGGAACTCGAGAAATCACTGGCCGGTGCCTCTTATACTTTCTTCACATTCGAACCTAGTAATAGACCAACACAATCCAACACAAGAATTTATTCTACTACGATTTATAGCTTCATTGAGAATGTTGACTTCTCGTTGATAAAACAATAGCTAATTGTCCCGAGAACAAAGAAGAGCGTGTGTCATTTCACATTGGCAAATGCTGCAAATCAACAAAACTTTGTCATGATGTCGCGTGCTCAGCATTTTTTCCAACTGTCGGGCTCTTTGCTGTTGCCATGACTCAGACCGGGTGTCTGGAATACGTTGCCTTATTAGCATTCATAGACGGAATTTAACAGAAATAGAACAGCCTGGATTTAGGCCCGTAACGGTAACTCGCACGGGCCGTAAACAATGGTATTTGTTTGTCCAATTCTAACTTGACCGTTCACAATAACGTTCGTGGCACAATTTAATAAACATGATTTGATTCGGTTGACTGTTTGAATATAGTAAGTTACTAGGTGCTTTGTTTGAATGAGATAATATCTCGCTATCATTACACAGGTTTGAAAACATAGGAACGCTCGATAAACAATGTAAACATGCCATAAATAATAATACATGAAGTACTTAACACAGACATTCTAACACAGAGGTTGTCATATAACAATATGAGCCATCATAAATCAACTTTCTATGGTCGGGTGACCTTTATAATGATGCAGGAATGCCTATAGTGGTATGATAACATCAAAATAATCGCTGAAATACTACGAGGCTTATTGTCAAACACGCAATCACTTATCAGAGACCCGATGGCATCAATTCAACTTTCTAATCATTGTTTAAGTAGCGAGACGTGACAATGATCTCAGATAGCATGCGCACAGTAGGTTAACCGATTGATAAACATGCGTGACTAAAGACAAAAGTTACACAAACCCTTGGTTAATCAGTACAGTTACCGATTGGTCCAATGCTTTTCAGGTTTATGAGGCGTTTCTATTTGAATACATTTCAAAAGGAAAATATGCAACAGTATCAGTCAAGCGAAATATGAATGCGCTTGCAGCTACTGATGGCATTTTTATGAACGATTCAAAGGCATAGAAAGCTGGAGAGTTAAGCATTAATATGCTAAAATATCTTCGCTGTGAAGACAACGTTCCAAAATACTTTCACGGCACAAGCGTAGTGCACACAAACGCGATCGCTGCAGTAACCTTGTGCGGGAGGACCTTCGAAATAGAACTTTCAAGTATTCAAACCAGTCTTTAACAATAGCAATCACAGAATATGCTACAAGCATAATAAACTCTTGGAAATTTTACAAAAATGGAAAGATATGAGACTAAAACAAAGGACCAGTTTCCTAATACGACTTAGGTATAAAATATTTCCCTTAAAAATACCAAATATTAAATTACCGACCACGTGAAAATGATGATTCATACAAAAACGTTGTTGTAAATTCGCAAAGAAGAGTGCACGTCCCAATCCTTTATACAGGTTCAGGTGCTGCTATGACAACAGCTGCGGCTTCCGCAAAAAAAGCACATCCACGGTTTAGCATCACAAATCACACACAATTACCATTACGAAAAAAAACTGTCTCAAATCAGCTTTGTTGAGAGAACGTAAACTTGTATTGGCGAACAAAACATTGCTTCTCACAATGAACTCGATCGCGACTAGTTTAAATTCTGTGCGCGAGACATCGGGACGCGGCGACCAATCACGACAGCGTCGCCCCGCTTACTGCTGTGCGATCAACTCCTGCGCATACGGGCGACGTGCGTGAACGCGAGCCCCGACCGAAAGAAAGAGACAAAAACGTACCTGAATTCAAAAAGCTCCATGTTTATGTCACAAAAGGTAAACGAGTAAGACGTTATGATTTTGATTATAGCAATAAATGCAGGTGAAATAACATTAGTGGAACCTGACAAAACAACTATCGCTGTAGTAAATAGCACGTGCGAAATATAACGTTCTTCAAATTTACGATTGCATTAGATTGACCCTGATAATTAAAATTACTATGTCAGATTTCAGATATTGGCATCCAAAATACTATAAACGGACTTGTACCACTTTTACGTAGCTTACATAACGTAACCCAAAATTAGAGCGACAATTACGAACTCAAACGTAAAATGTAATAAGTGAAGGTGAATAAAAACTAACGTGAATCGGCACAGAGCATCGCCCGTGACCAGATTGTTACCTAAATGTTTTCGATTGAAGGTTGAGACCTCAAAATAAAACTAAAAGCAATCACTTGTTAGTTTTTGCAATGACGCCTCGCACTAACAGCCATTTAATCATGGATTGTGATGATATAAAATAGTTCATTAGATCGCTAATGATATCTGTTTTTTGTAACTTTTAAGTTTAATTAAGCTTGTGAAATGTGAGTTTTAAGTATCTTGTACCGTTACACTTTGATTGTTTCTTATTGCTATTTGAAGTAACTAGATACCGTTTTTCATGAATATCTTGACAATTGAAATTATAAAATACCTATGACAAGTATTAAATTTCAATGTGGAAAGTGTAAAGAAAACACTACTGAAGAAACTGAATTCATTGAAGTGAATAGAGCTATCAATTTACTAGCTACAATTGACGTTAATTACGATTTCACGTAAATTCAATTCGACAAATCGCAACGCGTAAATATTCATCACAATATTACTAATTAAACATTGTAGGTATATCAACGTCATTATGAAATATAATTCCCACAACGCAGATATTGTAAGAACTACATAAAGAAGTTTGCGACACATTTCTGTAGACGTATGTTTTCAAACTGCAATAGCCAGCAAAAGTTTTTGAAACACATGTCATAAAAGGACATGAATTTATTTTGAAACGTGTATTACTTCATTTGATACTTTCATTTGAACGAATATTTGCAGGTTCTTATTTACTTACTACAGCGCTAAAAAAGAAACTACAAGTTGGTTACTTAACGTTTTGTCTGCAATAGGCTAGTTGCCTAAAAAAATTTTTTTAGTCCGTAATGTTTAATATCAAAAAATATTGGACACATATATTTTTATTTGTCAATCTAACAAATAATTACATAGTTATGGTGCGTTGAAGTTGCGCACGACGTCACAACGTGCGGCATTTTTAAGCAAGCGTTGACGTCACGGGCCTCTTCTTATGAACTTTGGGGCGCTTTATCTCTTTAAATTTTCATTAGTTTGAAAAAGTGAAAAATACGTGTAGAGTATTTTTTGATAAGTTAACTGACGGACTAATTAAAACTCTTGCTTTTTGACCCAGGCAACATCCCCATTGACGTTATCCAAGCTGTGGAATCTGTGCCATGGTTTAATGATGTCATTTTAGCCAGCTGTGAGCTTAGATCTTCTAAGACGTCAACGAATCTACCTCTGGGATGTTTGGATCTACTCCAAACACTACCTTAGAACTTCTATTGTGATTGTGGTTAACTTTCCCTGAGGCTAACTCAACCTTCTCAGGTTGGGTTTTATCGAAGATCAAGCTGTAGATCCTGGCTACACAGGAGTTTCTAATAAATATTTAATTCAGTTTCTTGCAGGATCATAATTGGGCGTTCATGTTTATCCAATTGAAATAAATAGTTACTATCACGATTATTGCAAGATTGGCCTTTATTTAAACAACTGTAGTAATCGATTCGACATAGGTACGTATGTTCAAACACATGTTTGTAAAACTGTAGAGTGCACGTGAAAGCGAAACCGTGATCGCAGCCTTGACCGTTTGCGTCACAAATGAAATGCGAAGATGCCACTCGATCTGCATTTTCTACTTTTACTTGAACTTTCGAACCGTGAACTTTGTCTAGTCGCAATCGATTGGTTCTAATATCGATAAAACTAATCGAATCGTCTGTTTTGGATTGGACATTTCACGCTTTCATTGATGAAGGTTTGACTACCTTAATGAAGTGGTTGTAGTTTGTTTGTAGTGGTTAATTTTACTATGCAATTTTTTCTCAAAAACAGCAGCTGTAATGTAATGTAACGAGGGTACAAAAATATATTTTAGCTAGCAAAGCCAGCTCACTAAGGCCTATTAAATTGAGATTTTAATCATCCTCTATTCAAGCATAAACTTTATAAGAAAAGTTCATAGTTAAGTATCAAATAAGCATGCTCAACCTAAAAATCTGAATTCACAAACCGGGCCTGAGTTCACCGTGTTTGCTAACCTAACCCCCTTGGCTAGATTTTATTGTCCTTAGCAGGCATACTATGGAAAAAAACCAGAAATGTTAATCATCAAAAGTAGGGCACAGTCCTACCAACATGAATTGATCTCTGACTGGAACTGCGCACATTCGAGGCCTATTTAATTGAACAATGCAGCTGGATAAATGCGGGCAATCTCCCCTATCACATAAAAGTTGTTCTTCGCATTTACAAAGTTCCATTTGTATTCTTAAGTGGAGGACTTAAAGCTCAAACTTATTTGCTTTAAATCTCTGATATTAGCTCTATAGTGCATTTGTAGGACTTCTTCGTACAGACGACTGCATGTTAACGTTAACACTGAGGCATCTTATACAGTTGCAATAAGTTCCATTTTGCATCAAAAATTAAGGCTGATTCATTGCGGCTGTACTTCAGAGATGAGTAAGTTTGATTGAGAGCTATCGAACAAATGCATGCTCGATTTTACTTTATGTACCTAGTTGTTGGTATATTTATCAGATTATATCAATTTCACGAGCTATAAGTACAGTTTGTGAACAAAACATTTTCTTACTTTCGTCGTTTAAATCAAGATTATGCGAGGGAGAATTTGTAAAACCCACTGAACTTGGTAATTCATTAGCAGTATTTTTTATAATTTATTTTACACTAACGTCACATCACACATTCTTAAATCAATATTAATTAATAGTGCTTACGCAACTGTAACGCTCTATTTATTATTTTAATTAATGACAAGAAAGTTGCATACTGGGACAACATATTCAAAGCTGTCATCATTAATTATTGAAGTGAGTAATTTAAATTTAAAATTCAACTAATGACTTCATTTGACGTAAAATAGAAGTTATAAATATTTTGTATTCTCTACATTACACATTTTATTAGATAGTGTCTAATTATTTCAGAAATTTTACTAATAGGGTCATTGTCAAATTTTGTGCAGGTAAACGAGTCCCGCAACATTTTTTATTTTTTTGTACTTAATAATGTCAAAATCTTTTACGAATTATGTATTAAATACAAAATACATCGCATTAGCGAGCATCTATTATTGGAATAACGACTAAAGTTTCAATATTTTTATTTTTTTTAAAGTAACAGAGTGGTCATTAGTGGTAACAGAAAGGTTTTCCTTACAAATTGTACCTGTCCCATGTAGCATTCCGTTACAATAAACATCAAATAATTGCATTTTCTACTATAGTAACCTTCTTAAAATTAATTATCATCGTAAACAGAGTATTATAAATATTCAATAAAATATGTTTTAAAATCAGTCAGTATAAAATCTAATTTTTAAATAATTTTCTAAACTTTGTCCCACGTACTATCTGGAACCACTTGGACCGCTATGTTACTAACTAATTCACGACTCAAAATGGAAATGGCGGTATTTTGGATATTGTTTAATCTTGGGTGGGATGTCTGCATTCGTCGTGGGAGTTCGTTAAATCGGGAGGAGGGGTAAGTCGCTCGGCAGTCGACCTCAAGGTGTTGAACGTGCTGCGTGTTTTTATTGCGCATCCACTTTGTTACCTACCTATTCACGTAAGTAATGTATGTTTTTTTATTAGTTTACGTTCAGTATATTGTCTAAGGGGTAAATGTGTTAAATGTGAACGAAATATTTTGCTACACGCTTTATTTTTTGACTGGTGTATAATGGAATGTAAAATTTACCACTCTGTTGCTGCAACTCTGTTACTGGCGTGTGGTAACAGAGTTGCTTATGCCATTATATTATCCTTTAATTTTGCCAAAATATTATGTTTCAATTACTTTTTTTTAATCAGTTGCAATTTAAAAAGTTCAAGCAATGGGTAACTTTGTTTTATACAAATAAATCGAAATAATAAATATTAATAACCCCAAAACTCATTTGTTACAGGATATTTGCGTTATTAAAATGCCTCTAACGCCTGCTGAGAAGCAGCGATGATACCCGAGAACGCCGTAGAAATAATCAAGAAAAAGAGGTTAAAATAATGTTTTTAAGGCAATTGGCGATAATACAACAAAATTCAAATTAATTAAGTGATTTATCTTATGAGGCTTTTGATAATTTACTTGCCGTTGTTCCAGAACCTAAAAAAGTCTGCAAAGGTAAAAGAGTATACTACCAATTTGATAATCCCTTAGATATACTTGAGAAATAAGTTATTGCAAATTTTCAACTACTCTTCCAAGAAAATCTAATTTTTATTACTATAAAGATAAGGAATCTATAAGAAAATAAGCTCTTGATTGGTAAAATACAGTCATAAGTTAATGTTTTGATGAAGTGATTTGGATATCAAGCTCAATAAGTGCAAATTATTACATAATATGCAATAAAATTAACAACTATGTTACTGTGTTACAACTCTGTTACTTTTCTGTCCCAAAGATTAAAAGAACATAGTAAGATTTTAAAGAAAAGCTAGTCATTATAATATAGCAAATATCGCGATGCGTTAATTTATTAGATATTTTTACAGTATTATGTTCCAGTTGGCTGCTAATAAATCGATATTTGGAGGACTTAAGTAGAATTTAAGGTATTTTAAT